TGCTGATGCCGTCGTATTGTAGAACAAAGTAAACCAACACCAGATTCAACTTAGACCCAAAATGGACATATAATTCTAGATGAAGTAAAACGAAAATTAATCTAAGAAAACTTTAATTCCTTTTTAGTTTAATTCGCTTCCTGTTCATAATAATGATTATTATAAAGGTAGAACCGGAATGGAAATAAGAACCTGGAATGCGCACGATGCTCAACAGAGACATGGAATCATGGTGACGTACATCTTACGAACCCACTCACATCTTACAGGTGAGAAGCATAGTGTAAAGGAAAAGCTACCACGCTTTCGCTTTTTTTTCGGGGGGGGGGTGTAAAAAGCTGAGAAAAGACCGAGGAGCCTGATTAGGCTCATCTCCTAGCTTTTATCGACAACATTTATGACATTAGAGAGACGAGCTTTGAACCTTCTTATCAAGGCTTACCCTGTCTGAAAGCAATACAACATCCCAGGAGAAAGGCCGAGATAATAGTCAGAAATGCTCCTTATAAGTTATACTAGAATCGAACTCAGTTCTGAAGAGAGTGCGACGGCAAAGCACCTTATGGCTTCACCACAGACGGCGATGACCAAGTTGTGTCCTGCTGACCTCTCCTCAAAACAAAACTAATTAAAAAAACCCAACAGATTTACAGGGGAGCAAATAAAAGGACAAAAAGCTAAAAAACAAACAAACCACACACACAAAAAACAACAACCCTAAAACCCCCAAACCCCACTAAAATACGAACCATCAACAACGAACAAGCAGCCCATTCTTGTAGGCCTACTCTCCGAGAAGATAATCTCCAAAGACTCACATTGACACTGCGCCTAATGCCCAGTGTATACCCAGACAGTCACTCGGATTTATCGGGTTGAATCGAGGCCAGCCAGAATTCCCTACCATGTGTCACAAGACGACCAAATATTTAACTTGATTTATCAACTATGACCTTGTAAAGCAAACTAATTTGTTTCAAGGTCACGAGTACAGTCGGTCGTATTGTGATAAAACTCCCCCCTCTCTCTCTCTCTCTCTCTCTCTCTCTCTCTCTCTCTATCTATCTATCTATTTATCTATCTATCTATCTATCTATCTATCTATCTATCTATCTATCTATCTATCTATCAATCTATCTATCTATCTATCTATTTATCTATATTATAAACATATATATCCTATCTCCCCCCCCCCTTTTCTCCTCCATCCCTTCCCCTTCCCATTTCTCTCTCTTTTACTGACTCTTTTCCAATCGGTCGACTCAAACCAATAAATCCGATCGGTAGATACAGTGTGCTCTGCCACTTGGACACAAGCTACCAAACCCGTCTGTCGCAAAGTCGTCCTTGCCCGTGTGTTCTACATGAAGTGTTCTTCACACCAGCATGGCTTATACTATCGTTAAACTTCTGCTTTTCATAGCCTCTTGAGATTTCTTTATGTTTCTATATCATTAAAAGGGAATCATTCTGACAATACCTTATCAAGTTATTGCCAATAAGCTCTTTGTAAATGCGGGGAAATAGGGTCGGGGTAGGGGGGGGGGGGTGTTTTAACACAGTTTAGTAAAACAAAACAGATTTAAATTAGATAGAGCAAACAGAGAACGTATCCAATGTTACATGTATGCACAAACATTTTATATCGATAGCATTTTAGAATGTTTCGTCATTTCTCTCTATCACGTGCATTAACTCGAGGAGGGCTTGGGATGTATTCGTAATATCTGTCTAAAGTCCTTTAAAAAAAAGTGGTAGCAAAAAGAATCGCCAAGTGAAGTTAAGAGCGAACAAGACAGCAGGCACCAATCGTATCAATGATCTTGCAGACCAAAAAAAAAATATTGTAAAATAGAAATAAAGAAAGACTACTAACAAATGCATTTTGACTTTACAAGACCCAAACATCTTACAGAGGGGGGGGGGGGGTATGGTGCATAGGGTGGTATAAGTTTTCTGCTGAGTAGAGATAACCACCTTGGGGAGTTTTATGAAATGAGAATGAAGTAATACACTCTATTGTAACCAGCCAGAATGAAGTAAACACTATGGTATTTTGTCGTACTCGAATGAAATAATGCATTCTGCCATAAGAAGAAGACATTAATAAATATGACAGCAACGACAAAGAGAAAAAACTGAACGCTGTAATAATTTAGATGAAAACGTTCATAAACGATAAGTAGAGAAATATGGTAAAATCATTGAGCAAACATACAAAAGGTCATACGTTTGATTAGTAGAGTTGCTAAATCAAAGTTTATTAGCTAAACCTTGATTAGTACAAATAATTAAATAGAGTATCTCCTTTGTCTAAAACGGATCAATTGGCAGCACTTGCACTAGGTTTCATAGTCATTTTTGTTCTGTAACTGTTGCCCATGTTGTATAAGGAAACTGGAGTTCTTAAGAGAGGGAAAATTACGCACCAAACTGACAAAGAAACAGAAAAAATAAAACAGACTAAACATGGTGGATAGACAGACAGACAGATAGACAGATAGATAGATAGATAGATAGATTGATAGATAGATAGATAGATAGATAGATAGATAGATAGATAGATAGATAGATAGATAGATAGGGAGGTAGATATGTAAGAAGGTAGGTAGGTAGGTTGGTAGGTTGGTAGTAGGTAAAACGTTAGCTAGCGAGGTAAGTAGGTAGATACGTAGAGAGGCTGGCAGATAGAAAGATATTATTCAGTGAGGAGACGACTAGAAGGAATTAGTAATAGGGCGTGAAGCTGAATCATGAAATCAGTTAAATATTTCAAATACAAGAACCATTATTTGGAAATAAGAGACAGTTACTGACCGGTTTAGTAATAACAATAACGACAGTTCCCTTGTCCACCGAAGAACAATACTTTTATTATATCGGCTGAGGAAATTTCTTGCAGAAAAATGAAATAGAAGAAATAAAGATACATATGATTTGTGGCTTCTGCTACGGCCAATGAGACGGATTCTGACAGAGAAAGAGTTTGCCATTTTGTGCATTGAAAAGATCCTTTTCCACGTGTGAGTGCTAAGTTTAGGGTACAAACAAAGAGAGCGTCCCTCAACGAAAATTCACTCTCTGCGCATGTAGGCCAAGCCTTGTCCCACTTTTCTTTTGTTCCTCCCCTGTACAAGTATCTTGGAACAAAGGCAGCAGGTATAAGAATATTATTATGTTTACTTTTACTCCCGCACCCAGATACACTGCTGAACATTTTTTGGGGGGTTACAGGTAACACATTATGGCAACTAGAACTACTTTTGCAAAGTAATTATTTTCAAGAAAATTAAAAACCTAATTCCAAATCATCAACTTATGGGGAAGAAAAGGGAGGCATTCCCTCCATGAAACCCTCAGATTCAATATTATTTTCTTAACCGCAGAGGAGAAATGACTGTGCAATTAGGCTTAGCAAAATAATAATATATGCATAGTTCGAAAAAAACACATGTTGCCCAATGTCGCGAGAAATTACCTTGGTCACTGACGAAGGAGGGATTTATGAGAGCGACCCAAAAAGGGCCCACTATTGGGTCAAGTTAGGGGAGGGGATGAGGGGGAGGGAGCGTTAAATTTACTATTACCCAGTCTAATAGTACACGCTGAATCGACCATGTTTGAGCATTGATAAGGCAGCGACCTTGCCATAGGAAAAAGAAATAAAACAGAATAATACAACAAAGGCTTCATAAAAAAACTTTAGGGTTGTCGATCTAGTCATCACCAACTCCACTATCGTCGTAGCCGTCGTCGTCATCATCATCATAAAAACAACAACAACAGCAACAGCAACAGCAGCACAACAAGATAACAACAATTATGATAAAAGCAATAACTTGAAACGCAATTTCAACAGGAACGGGAACTGCAGTAACAGCAAGAAATGTTTCATTGCCAATATTCTTACACAGGCAATGGAATGATAGTGAGTAACAACGCAGATCTATTCTTGCGGAGAGCTATACCTCACTTGCACGTAGTCTCACCGTCACAAACCTCGCTGCAACATCGTTTCTGTCTAATCTATTTACATTTTAAAATACCTAATTATGCAGAAATGAATGATCCAAGCAGCATGTAATATAATTAAAATCTAATGAGTAAAAGGTTGCACTTACTGAGATTTAGTAGATTTTGTATAGATTGTAAACGATCGAGTGATGCCATGAGCCAACTCAACTGGCGTGCGGTAAACACAGAGCTAAGGAAGTGCAGTAAAAGATCATGTAAGCAGCTTCCTATAGTATTTTCCTGTAAGTACTGTCCACCTTTATTCTAACCAATACACGTTCATAAACAGCAACCTCCACATTTCCCCACAACATGCACGTCAACTTCACTTTATTTTTCAAACAATGAAATAGAATACAAAATGGACATACATTATTCTGATATATAAAACGATTTTAGGTATCGTTTCACCTTTTGATTTAATAAAAAATATTTTAAAAAACCTCCTGTGCGGTCGATCTCGTCTTCATTATCATTATCAACTGAACAACATATCACTTTCATAGTCATTATTGGGGCTTCGCGAAAAAACAGCGAGTATAACAAGACCTTTTCCCAGTGAAACTTACCGTAATATGTATACATACAAACAAATTATATAAATATAGTTATACAAACACACACACACACACACACACACACACACACACACACACACACACACACACACACACACACAAACATTCCCCATCTATACACACAACAAGCATAATAAATAAATACATGATCATTAATTTTGTTAAGCATTTTGCCGCATTCCCAGAACACAATCTATCTTCTTCAATCAATGGACGGCCTAATGTCTTTGCACCACTTGGAAACATGCACACTTCTAGTCCAAAACCACGAGGTGATTATCAAAATCTTTCCCTGTTTTTCTTCAAAGAAAAGATACGTGTACTAATTAATGATGGTAAATACATCGATTTACGCACTCGTATACCTACAACTCATACTTTATAAAGACATCTTTTATTTTTTGTTTGTTTTGTTACCTTAGGGTATAAACAGTCGAGCTACAATTATCACGCAGAAACGTCTGCACAGAAAGTGTTGCTTACTTTTGTGTGGCAGCCACAGGGGCGACATTTACGCTACTGCTTAGTTCAACATAGACGATCGGAGAGTCAGGGTGGCTTTGGTCATGTCGATGAGAAGAATCTTTAAAAAAAGAAAGCGACAAAGAAGATTTTGGGTTCATCTCTTTGTTTCTCATAGATTACAAAGAGGACAGTTTTACATCTTATATCTTCAAAAAAGATGTCAAGACAGAAGTCAAATAAAAAGGAAAAGTTGCTTACGTATCTGCTTCTTCAATGTTCCACTTGTGTCAGTGTGTTTTGGTCTGAGTGCTAGTTATACATCTATCCAAACATCATTAAAAAAATTATATTCCTCACTTGTGTTGTCCCAAATAATGTTTCTGCTCCTTATTTTCAAAATCAAACGCTCTGTTCCGTTATAAGAAGACATGGTTGCACTGGGAATATTGTCGTGTTGAATGAGAAGCGAGAAAACACTCAACTATTGTAGGAATGCGCGATTTTTACAGCTCGTCTGTCAAGGCCCTTATAGCTGAATGTCCTGTACATTAGCAGTAGTGTTTTGCATCGTGCCACCAGCATGTCCATTGTTATGAAACGTAAATTGTCATGTAGTTCCTTCCATTTAAACCTTGAAATTCCCCCAGAAATATACAAGGTATCAGCGTATTAGACGTATACCTTTGCCACTAGCTCATATATCATATTTGCCGGCTGCCAAAAACCAATTTGCATTCTGGATTCTCTACCATTGTTATCTGATTCTTTTATTCTTTTCTGAAAATGTGTATTAAAAGGTTACCGAACACACATTTAGTTGAATTTGTGATTAAATTCTATTTTTTTCGACATTTTTAGCGTTCTTAATCTGCCAGTCAAGAACGTTATTGACGTCACCAGTCATAATTTGAAACATCGATTTTAAAGCTGAACCGATTATTTAAAGAAACCGCGTCTTCAATAACAATAGACCTTGATGACCCTGTGGATGTCTTTAAAAACATTCTACAAAGCTGTGATCACAGACGTGATAAGTGGTTCGAAATAACAGGATTACTATTTTCGTTCCCCCGAGACATAACATTCAGTCGACTGCAACGTTTAAGACAGACAAATAAATAGCAAGCTGCACTTAAAATCACCCAAATTCTTTCAGCATCATGAACTTTTTCCCGTTGCATTAAATTATGGACATACCAGGTTAAACCCCCTCTCATTTAACCAGCTTTTATTTCCTAACTGCACTATTATGGAACCTCAACTTTTCGAGCCCTCAAATCCAAATACGAAGACACAAGAAAAAACCCAAACATCAATAGTATGTTTGTTGAGAAAAGAAACAAAACAAAATGAAAACAAGAAAAATACAAAGCAAACAAAGGAGACAAAAAACCAAACAACGTTGTCTTTAGAGCATCGAATTTGTTAAGTACACATAATTTGAAATCAGGGAGAGACTTTATAACCGCCACGTACACTCACAACTCTCTCTCTCTCTCTCTCTCTCTCTCTCTCTCTCTCTCTCTCTCTCTCTCTCTCTCTCACTAACTCACTTTTTAGACGTAACTCCACACCACCGAATCGTAGGCTCCAACAGAACGTACTCGTTATCTTTACACTCCTCACTGGCAAGTTCTAAACATTTCCCGGCGCTTGGCGACGATCTGAACATGTACTTCCGGCTGCTGAAATGTACCCGGCATCCACCACCGTTGCTAATGACGCTATTCTGGCGTCGATAGAAGCGTTTGTTTCTGTTTGAATCACTGAACACCTGAAGCTCATGACTGGAACCACAGTTCATCCCGTCTTCGCAAGCCCTTGGTGAGGAACGTTTGGACCCCCTGGAACAACCACATAATATCTGCTCGTGGGCGGAAGAGGGTGACTTAGAAAAGGCTTTGATCGTGTAGCGTTTGTTGTTGCTATTGTCCTGACGGTAACCACCGTTGCTGATGCTCACAGAAGTGCTCCCAGAAACGTCGCACCCCGTCACGCTTCTGTTGCTGTTGCTTCGGCTGGCGGACTTTGTCCCGTCGGCGCCAAAACCGCTGTCTTCGTAACCCTCGATCCCCTGCTCCACATTGAGCTCGCTGCTGACACAACTGCTTTTCCTGCGGGCGCAGCGTTTGGACAACATGAGCTCGTTAGGCCCGCCCAACATTGAATGTGACGTCCTGCGCAGCGAATGGAGGCCGCTTAGGATGGTTTGGTCACGACCCGTTCGTCTGTGAAGGCAGTGGAAAAGCTGGAGCACTTGCTGGCGGAATTTGTTGCCCGTAGCGCAGTAGAGGAAGAAGTTGATGGAGTGATTCGTGTACATCAACAGCTCTGTGATGGTTTTGACCAGTGTGAACTGGGCCATCCTCCGATAGGCGTTGATGTTGTCGGACCCCTCCTCCTGTGGAGAGATGAAACGTTTAGAATGAAGATCAATTCAATTAAAATTGCAGAAACAGATGGAGAAACGATGTTGAGGAGGAAGATGAGGAAGAGGAAGAGGACAGCGATAGTAATAGATGTTGCAGAAAGAGAGGGTGTTGAAAGAGAAGGAGAAGTTGGAAAAGGAGGGCAAAGAGAAGGAGTGGCAGACAGGAAAAGAGATCAACAGGTAGACAGAGAGAAACAAATGGACAGACGAATAGGCAACAATACAGACATATTAGCGGAAAGGCTGAAAGTCACGTACACGGACAGATAGACATACAGACAGACGTACAGATAGACCGACAGTCAGACAGACAAATAGAAAGATTGACAGATAGACAGATAGACAGACAGACAGACAAACAGACAGACAAACAAACAGACAGACAGACAAACAGACAGACAGAAAGACAGGCGGTAGGAGTGATAGCAGTAGGCTCATCAGTGGTAATTGAAACATCCTGTGACGTCATACCAGCTCATTAGTGGGCTTCTCTGTCTACTGTCTATGTCGGCGGAAGTCAAAATATCAACTCACCCACACCAGCGAAACGAAATTCACCGTGATTAGCGACACGTTTCTTCTATTATTTGCTTTCTCAAGTAACCTACTATGTTTGAACATTTTGTCCGGCATTAGAGGAAAAAGGTTGGGGTGGGGTTGGGGGGGGGGGGGAGAATCTTTTTCTGGTTTTGAGATAAAAAGGTGTTGGAGAGGATACGGGGGTTACAGATTTTGTTCGAGTTTTCGAAGAAAAAGTTAAGAGTGGGGGTGGAGGAAGGATATTTGAGATCTTCTTTCAAACACGTGCTGTACTTTAAAGCGATTCACGATCTCGTTATACATTAGAAGTTTTTATTTATTTTCTTTTAACCTTGTTGGTTTGTGGGGGTGGTTTCTTATACCTATTGAGTTTCTAAATTGGTGTTATAGTTAAAATTGATACAGGTCCTTTAGCTATCCAAGACTCAAATGTGACTGGCTCATGGTTCCAGACTGATACAGCCCAGAGAAACCATTCAATAGGAGAGCGAGAAATCTGCCTAAGCCCAAATATAATTCCCCCACCGCCCCCCACCCCTCCAAAAACTCTATAAAAAGGTCTCTTGAGTCCGTTCTAAGCCCAAGGGAAGGTTGTCTGGCTTGCATCAGAATCGTTAGCAACGCAAACTTATAGCACTGAATGGTGATGAGAGGGTGGGGTGAGATCTTTTTATAAAGAGAACTTGTTTATCATAAGACAAAGTCCTTTTCTTCTGCCCAAGGTTGGCTTAATTGAGTCAAGGAAGGTAGCTTGAAATAGTGTTGTCCGGTCAATCAATGCGAACCGAATGGAGTAATGTTTTTTCTTTCTTACGAAATTGGAAACAAATTATTTTGAAGTGAAGGTGGGGTTTTATTTTAGTTAGTGCTTTTCGGTATAAGTGCAAGCGTGTGTTTGTGTGTGTGTGTGTGTGTGTGTGTGTGTGTGTGTGTGTGTGTGTGTGTGTGTGTGTGTGTGCATGCGCTTACACTCTTAATGAGCGCGTAGTTTATGCGAGCATAACTATGTGATACGTCCTAATGGATTATAGATTTTTACTTTGTTTATGTCGGGCATGATCGTGCGTTAACATCTGCGCTTCGTTAAATTTGCTATCGACAGGGAAAAGGAAATGACAAATAGACCGAGCTAAGAAAGTAAAATGAAAAAAAAGGTGTGCGTCAGTTTAAAAAAAATGTTACATAGAGAGAATAGTGAGATCGAGGCCAGGAGAAAGAAATAGAAGAGGTAGTGAGAGAAATAGAAAGGAAAAGACAGACAGAGGCGAGGGCAGAAAGAGAGGGGTGAACGAGAGATAGAGGCATGTAGATAGAGAAAGAGAGAAGTGGGGAGAGCAAGAGAGAGCAAGATAGGAAGATATGAATACATATATATATATATTATATATATATATGTATTTATTGATAGATAGAGGGATAGATAGATAGAGAGAGAGGGGGGGGGAAAGAAAGAGTGAGAGAGAGAGAGAGAGAGAGAGAGAGAGAGAGAGAGAGAGAGAGAGAGAGAGAGAGAGAGAGAGAGAACGAGAGAAAGAGACAGACACAGATACAATGAGACGCACCGAAAGAAAAACACCTTTGTTTTTCGATTTTCCTACCCAAAAATGAACAATCAACCAGTCTCTAAGCCGTGAGTGATTACCTTCTCAGCCTCGTGTTTGGAGTTCCAGAAGTAGGTCACGATGAGTGAGATGTTATTGGGCAGCGTGAGGACGAGGAAGGTGAAGGACACGGTCACCAGCATAACGGTCAGTCGCGGCCCCTCGCTGGCGTTATGGCGCCGGTTCTCGCTACCGGAAGTGCTTGTGGCATTCACATTGGTCACCGAGGAGCAGTTGTCATCAGCTCCAGACATGAGCATGCGGTTTGACCTGGCGCCCATTACCTGGAGGAAGTATACATTTATAGTTTGACCAATGTAGTATGTTCCCTTCAATGTTAGACACGTCAGCTTTTAGCTTTAAAAAATGTTCTTCCTTTTTTGTGCAACAAATATGGAGGTTGGTGTGTGTGTGTGTGTGTGTGTGTGTGTGTGTGTGTGTGTGTGTGTGTGTGTGTGTGTGTGTATGTGTGTGTGTGTGTGTGTGTGAGAGAGAGAGAGAGGGGTGGGTGTCTAGAATAGACCTACGGTTGTCATTCAAAAGGCAAGTGGAGACAAGCGGTTGTCTTTGACAGGGAAACGCATCAGACAGAGTCATTTTAATGTAAAAATAAGCATGGGAAAACATGTGTCGCAGTTGTTTGCACAGATGAATATGATATTATGTTCTATGGAGTGGCTTATTTGCTTTGTTCTTTTTCACAGTAACCACAAACGTTTGTAATGCCCTTTTAACAATGTTAGGTAGGTATTTTAGTTAGCGTTTAAGACCGCGGACCACATCACAAGTAGCATACATGTTTTTACCACTATTAGAGGCTTCTGTAAAATACAGCATACATTTATAAAGAACACACATATTAATAATAATTGAAAGACACTTTTAGATAACATCAATTGTGTTATTTTATTAGTGTTTCATCGATGACCTAGAGATTAGGCTCTCGGACTCACAACCATGAGGTCGTGGGTTCGAATCCCTTCAGGGCCTGACGTTGTGTCCTTGGGAAAGGCATTTTGCACAAATTTTTCTCACTTCACCCAGGTGGAAAGGGGTACCCGGCAAAAGAAAGTGAACGATCTTGCCAATTTGATTGTTTTTGTGCCCGTGAAATTGGCAGCTGGCACTGTATGCTTCCGCAGAAGCCAAGAATGTTTCTGAGTTTTCTCAGAGGGTCAGCTGGGGTAATAATATTTGTAAAGCGAACAGAGCATGCTCCAGAGCATGGATATGCGCTATATAAATGCAATTATTATCATTATTTTTAAAAACTTGTCATTATTATTATTATTGTCTTTATTATTATTATTATTATTATTATTATTATTATTATTATTATTATTATTATTATTATTATTAGACGGTGTATCTGACTAAACCAACCTCTCTGATGATGAGAAAGTTGAGCGCCGTGATGGTGACAAAGGGGAAAAAGCTGTAGACGAAGGCATCAACCCAAGGCCAGAACTCTGCCACCAGGCTCTCAAACGGCGGGACACCTTCGCACATGTAGTGAGGTCCGTGCTGTGAGGGGGAATAAAACCAAATAAAATACATTCGAAGTCTTTTAGTTTAGTTTTTGTAATAGTTTTCGGCACTTGCAACACAAAAAGGTCGTATAAGTGCTGAACATTAGAAGTGTTACAAGAGAGTAACAAATACAAAAAAGTAGGGGAGAGGATGTAGATGTAAGGTCGATAGATGTTTGATAGGAAAGAAGGAGCAAATAAAATCAGAGCACCCGCCAACCACCCGTGATTAAAAGTCTAAGCATGATTCAAATTTAATGCTCTTTTAAAAGCATGGCAGGCTTTAGTAGTTAAAACGAGGTTGTTTTTTTTGGGGAAGTCCAGTTTTTTCTTGGGGGGGGGGGGGGGGGGGGGGTTAAAACAAAATAGATGGTAGGAAAAACCTTGCATATTTACTGACATACTCTAAAACCTCAAAGCATGCATACATCCATCAAATGCATACACCGTTGAAATTGTCTGAGACTGCCACCCATTGACGAGGAAGGAAAAAAGTGGTTGTCTTAGACAGGTGAACGCATCACACAGTGTCATTTTATTGTAAAAAGTACGCACGGGAAGACATGGGGTGTTGTTGTTTTCGCAGGTGATTGTCTTATACAGGTGGCCAGTAGAATAGATTTTCCCATATAATCGACGTTGTATGCTTTTACAAAGCTTGAAGACATATCAACGCATAAAGAAATACATGTCTTATAAGAGTAGTTATTCTTTAAAATAAAGTATTGCATGAGTTAACAACAAACATGACTTTGAAAATTTCTTTGTATTAATCGTGTTTGTTAAGAAAAATTCTAACTGAACCTCAATCATAGAGGATTTAAAAAATCTCAAGATAAATTTGATACAGTCGAACCTGCTCTAGCGCTCACCTCCTGTCCAAGACAAAATCACTTATCCCCACCCCTTGCGTTTTTTAAATATTATAACGATACTGTCTACTTGTCTAGGAAAACCTCTTTTCTTCTCGACAATGGGTGCCGGTCTTGAACAGTTTCTTCAGTAGTCTACTTCCAAAAATTCGAATTGTTGCCTTGTGATTGACAACCTTTAAATCTATTTAGGCAAAAACCATTTAAACCCTACCCCTTTCCATCCTTTCCCCTTTTAAACAAACAAACAAACAAATAAACAAAAGAAACAAAAGAAACACCAAAAACAACAACATCAACACACACAAAAACCTAAAACAATCCCACCCAAGCAAATAGTCGAGAGTCACTCGGAAATACGGCCTACTGCTCAAGAGGTACTCTCTAATCTTCGTTGGAAAGAGTTAATGGGGTCGCTTGGGAGGAGTTAACTTAATTTGTCGACGTCTACCAAGGGTTCAGGGGTAATCAAATCTGGCCAACGGTCATGTCACGAAGCTGTCTCTCTTACAAACTGAAGAGCTTTTCATGTTTTGGCTCCGTGGGAATAATTTGCCACCCTACTTGATGCACATTATTACCTTGACCATCAATGATTTATTTGTAGATGCACATTATTGTTATTATTATTATTATTATTATTATTATTATTATTATTATTATTATTATTATTATTATTATTATTATTATCATTATTATTATTATCTCTTGCTGCTAACAAAACTTTTAAAATAAATGAATAGAAGATGTATGATTTTTTTTAACGAACGTGGTTTTACAACTCTCTTCCTCACATTTTATATCATTTAAGAGGCTGGCTTCGACAAAGCCTGCAAAGAACAACCACGGCTGAGAGGGATACAACACTCGCGCCTAAAGACAAAGTGATACTTGGTAAAATGTATTCCTTCTCTGGAATCAAACTCAGGTCTCCTGTGTGCGAAGGCAAAGTGCCTATCCGTTACACTAGAGACGTCGGTTAATGCGAGGAAAAGGAGATAAAGACAAAGACGAGGAGGGGAAAACACAAGCGTAAAAATCAAAGCTATCATAATAATGGTATTCATTTAAAACAAAAGGGTTTAGAGTTACCTACACGTTAAGCTAATCTTAGATTTATTTTACTTTCTTTACCTGAACAACTTCCACAGTCCACAAAAAATGGAAGTTGAGCGACAACATGAGGAACAACAAGAAGAGGATGACCTTCTTGGCACGTGATACGTTGCACATAGAGTTGGCCCGGAATGGGAAACACACCACGATATACCTGGATATAAACATTGTATAATCATTAAGCATACATACACTAATAATATGAAGAATCGATGGAATCACGTTATACTACCACAACGAAAAAGGATGGACAAAAATGACGTAAAGACGCAGGTACGTAAAAAACACAAAGCAATAATTCGAAATAAGCTCAGAACTTGATAAAACATATCTTCGTTCGTGAATACAGGCCCACTAAGTCTTCATCCTATGTTAAAAAAACCCAACCAACAATAGAAATAAAAACACACAAGTCTGTTCCCTTGTAAGGCATCGTATAATGAGACGTAACAGCTTGGCGTGCCAAGGGACATGATCATCATCATCTATTTGCCAGTTAATTTGGCTGTTTCCTGTTTTGTTTGTTTGTTTGTTTTTTTCGTGAAGCATAACAATACTTCTGTATTGACATATTTTCTACGTGGCTTGCAGATATTGACACCAAAGCAAACCAAGGGACCCCCCACCCCATTATAACACACATATACACACACATAAACAAACAAACAAACAAACACACACACACACACACACACGCCTGGGCATACTAAGATTGCGTTCTAGCTCTCAAAGTTCTCTTTATACAGGTCTAAAGAGTGAAGCTGATTACAACGTAAACTAATACTTATTATGAAAAACAAACAGCAAAATGCTTATCAGTTGTAGATTAAAACGTCTTAGCATTATGAACGAAGTACTTGAGACAATAATATTAATGTATAATAACCCAAGGACGTCTTTTGTGTCCTTGTAAGTTTTGAAACAGTGTACGTGCCAATTTTTCTGTACTTGAAGAAAGAAAATTGTTCTGATTTTAAAATATTTTTTACTTTCTTGACCCATGAATCCTTATAAAGTATTGCCGTCTTCGTAATAAACAACTCTTTCAATATCACTACAAGCGTTAATAAAATAACCCCCCCCCCCTAAAAACCCCTTACAAAAAATCAAAAACAAAATAAGACTAGATCTATTTCTGTTTTTTTTTTTACGGCGCAAATCAGGGCCCCATAAGGACATAGTTTCAAGACGTTAAAATATTGACCTTAAAAAGAAACACGGAAGCCATAATTTTATGGACTGTCTGATATAGATAGAAATAATTTGCTGCTCACAAAGGACCACGGACTTCCTCTAGACAGTTCTGCTTTAAAAAGAGAATGAAAGTCAAAAGAACTTGGTCAATATTGTGACCTCAAGGGAAGCATAATATTATTATTAATTTTTTAAAAAGTTACTACGTTCTTTATTCCTCTTTGTCCTTCACAGACGGGACATCAAGGACAAATATTGTCCGATTTCTTTGCTCTGTTTTTGTTCCTTTTTCTTTTTGCACTTTTTCCGACGAAGTCGCTCCTGTCTGTCTGTCTGTCTCTGTCTCTGTCTCTGTCTCTGTCTCTCTCTCTCTCTTTCTCTCTCTCTCTCTCTCTTTCTCTCTCTCTCTCTCTCTCTCTCTCTCTCTCTCTCTCTCTCTCTCTCTCTCTCTCTCTCTCTCTCTCTCTCTCTCTCTGTCACTATCTCTTACACTTTTTCCTCTATCTCTCTATGTCTCTCCTTCTCTCCTTCCGATCCCTCTCTTCCTCTTTCTCTCTTTCTCTCTTTTTTTCTGTCACAGTCCCTTTCCACCATGTTTATGCCTCTAGATAAGTGGAGTCGGAAGTCTAGCGGTCAGGCTACCACACTCGTTATAATGAGACTGCTGGTTTGGAGGTTCAAGCCTCAGCCCTGACAGTCCGAGGTTCTGTCCTTGGGAAGGACACTTCACATGATTGCTCCCATTAATTTGGCTCTGCCCTGTCGGATACGAACGCTAAATTCTGAGTTCCCGCCTCCGGCATTACCCTACATTTTGCAAGGTGCGAAGGCCGTAACAAATTTGCACCCATTTTTAGCATAAATGATGTTTTGTTTCTTTTTACGCTATCGAGTTCATTTTTTTTTTCAAAATTCGTAACTATAGGACTAAAATAAATCGACTTCTACTTTCTCTGCTCCTATTTCTCTTCGTGTCCCAATGTCACCTAGATATTAGTGCCCTGTCTTTGATCTTACTGTCCAAAATTGCTTCTGCTTTTATACTGCAAATCTGAAAGCAGGTGTTTCAAAAACAATATAATGATACATTTTTCAAAGTTTGTAAACAGTAAAAGACGGAGAAGGTATCTTGAAAGAAACCACAATCATTATACATTGTAGTACATCGTGGTGTATAATCACACATTACAGAATTGATTTTGTGACAATTATAATTTCTTATAAATTTTTACTTTATTACAGAATAAAGGTTTTAAGACTGTTTCGTGTCGTCACGTTTTGTGTGTGCGTGTGTGTGTGTGTGTGTGTGTGTGTTTGTGTGTGTGTGTGCAAGGTAGGGGGGGGCGTGTGGGAGTTGGGGAGGGGGATTGTAACTGTGTGCGTGCCCAGGTGGGTTAAGCTGAATAAGGACTTGTTTTCCAGCCTTTTCCTTACTTTTGAGGGGAAAAAAACCCGCCGAGAAAATCCAAAAGCCCATGCACATTATGATGAAATTTTGTGTTTTGACTTTAAAAGTAGAAATAAGAGGAATTTTTTGTGGTAGGCAAAGACAGTATGGAATTGTGCGTCGTGACTCTAGAAGTAAAAGTTAAAAAGGGATATTTTTGTGGTAGGCAGAGACAGTTCCATACCTCTCTACAGTGACTGCGATGATGAGCCATACAGAAAGGTCACTGGTCACATAGCCGAAGAGGGCAGTGAGTTTGCAGATCCAGTTGGCCGACTGTTGTATCTCGTAGCCGGTCAGTTCTCCTATCCATAGCTTGAGAAGGCCGATATACAGCACTAGTGTGTCCGTGATGGCCAGGGAGGCTGGAATAAGAGGGCGGAATGATTATTTGGAGTCAGTGCATGTGTGGGGGAGGGAAAACAGTGTGT